CCATAACCTTTGAAATTGGGTTTGTATGAGCATGATGAGGCAATCCATCAACCTTTTTTTGAAAAACACGAAGCTTCACGAAAAAAAAAATTTAAAAATGCTTTGAAGTGAAAAGCTCTTCACACTGCATAAATTAATCCCCATTTTCTACTATTCAAAATTGATCCCATCAGGACACAATGGTGCATGCACGCCTCCATCATATCTATAACAATTTCGCTTCCATCACAATAAACAGAAGCAGAGACACCAACACCACAAATTCACCACCATCAAAACAATAACACCTCCGCCTCCATCAGAACAAACATAAGGGGAAACATCAGCACCACCGCCTCCAACAAAAACTTCAAAAAAATCCAATAGAGACGTTAAATTCCAACATAAACAATTAACCAAAATGACGTACATGAGAAAGGATAACAAAGGGAATACCAGAGTCCAGAATGAGAGGTTAGGGCTAACGAGGAAGCGATAGATTGCAGAGGAGCGAGAGATCGCACCTTCGGTTAGGACAGACGACGAAGCGAGGGATCATAGAGGGGCATATGTGGTAATAGATAATATATGAAATGGGAGCCGCAGGGCAGTTTCCGCGACCCGCGTTTTACTTGAAACACCATGCTATGAGCCCGAACCACAACCTCAAATGATTAAAAACAACGACACGAAACCAGGTTGTGTCCCGAATGCCACCCCAAATGGGGCCTAAGAAACTCAAATATCTTATAGCTTGATTGTGTGACCAAGCAAGCTTGGACACCTCCTCAATGTGGCAGAAAAGATGTCCAAAATAAAACTCATATCTTAGTTGTGTGTGATCAAGAAAGCCCAACTATCTGCTCTATCTAATAGAGAATATAAAAAACTAGGCATATATCATATCTGGCTGAGGATGCCAACTGACTATTTAGTCGTATATGAAAGTGAAAAATTAAGTATAACCTAAATACAAAAGCAAAGAAATACCCTAAAATGACTAAAATGGAGTGTTGGTGAATGTCGAGTGTTTGTCTTAATTATCTATCATAAAGCACATCCTAAGATTGCAGACTCACGAGATCATAATATTATATAGAAATGCACAATTTCATTGCCGAGTCTCAAGCCCCGGATGTGAAAAGTGAAGGGTTGTGTTAGGTAGTCGACAACTAACATAAATATCGTCAAAAAATCAAGACATGAATCCTTTCAAGCATTGTGTAAATGCTAGGGTGCCTCCTGAAAGTGACGCGTTGAATGACCTACATACAGTGAAAAGTGTGCAAAAATACTACACCGGCGCCCAAGTGTAGTGTTAAATAAGCAAATGTTCCCAGAATACGAACATATATAGGTAAAGGAGTTAATGCATAAAATTATCATTAGGATAAAATCTTGGAATATATGTAATCTCACAGGTAAATTAATGGAGAAGTGTTTGGGCGCGGTGAGTGCTTCAGGACGGCATTCAGGCGGCGTTTGGGGATGAAGAGAATGAAGAGGTAGGACAAGAGAATGAAGAGGAATGTCAATTAAGAGAGCGACAACTCAGAGCGAATTAAAATATACTCCAGAATTATACACTCTTCGACCATGCCTTAGAAGTTATATTATATTTTATTTTTGTATTTATTGTATTGCCAACTATTATTTTAATAAAGCATAAAATTCTTTCGATAAATATGTAGTTCGAATTTTCCTTTTTTGAATGTTGAACTTAGTAAATTATTTAATTCTTGTAACTTATTTTAATTTCAATACTATCTAAATAATTTAATATTAATTTTATTTCAATTAACTTAATTTAATAATTTTTTAAACAAAATAAAATTTGTATATCAAAATAATTAACTTAAATAAATAAATAGTTTAATTAATGTCAAAATAGTCATGGTACATATATTTCATTAATAGCTTAATCTCTAAATAATTTTATTTAATTAATACTATTAATTCTATATCGTTCAATACTAATTATTTAGTTATTTACATCACTTCATAAATAGAATTTTAAATTATAATTTTTTTTATAATTCATTAAATAAATTTAAACAATATCATTGAATTAAAATATCATAAATTTAATATTAAAATGTTTTTAATGTTAATATTTTATTATGATATCTAATAATTTTGTTAAAATGTTATTTTAATTATTTTAGAGAAAAAATTAATATTGCTTCATTAAAGTTTAATATTTACAAGCAAAACGCAAAATGATTTTCTTCTTCATTTTATTTATTTTGTTGCGTTAAGGCACGGGAATGTTGTTTTTTTGACCACAAGGAGGGCTGTTAGAGCACGAAGATGAGAAATAAAATTAGGGTCATTCACCTGTGCAAATGAGTTCCTCAGGCACAATAAGAGTTGGACAAGGCAACATAAGAAGACAATGAATAAAGCCGTGTGTTTTGTCCGGAGTTTGATTCGGTCGCAAGCTGCGTCTAGACAACGACTGTGATTTATTAGAGTTCATTTATTGTAACTTAATTTAATAATTTTTTAAACAAAATAAAATTTGTATATCAAAATAATTAACTTAAATAAAAAAATAGTTTAATTAATGTCAAAATAGTCATGGTACATATATTTCATTAATAGCTTAATCTCTAAATAATTTTATTTAATTAATACTATTAATTCTATATCGTTCAATACTAATTATTTAGTTATTTACATCACTTCATAAATAGAATTTTAAATTATAATTTTTTTTATAATTCATTAAATAAATTTAAACAATATCATTGAATTAAAATATCATAAATTTAATATTAAAATGTTTTTAATGTTAATATTTTATTATGATATCTAATAATTTTGTTAAAATGTTATTTTAATTATTTTAGAGAAAAAATTAATATTGCTTCATTAAAGTTTAATATTTACAAGCAAAACGCAAAATGATTTTCTTCTTCATTTTATTTATTTTGTTGCGTTAAGGCACGGGAATGTTGTTTTTTTGACCACAAGGAGGGCTGTTAGAGCACGAAGATGAGAAATAAAATTAGGGTCATTCACCTGTGCAAATGAGTTCCTCAGGCACAATAAGAGTTGGACAAGGCAACATAAGAAGACAATGAATAAAGCCGTGTGTTTTGTCCGGAGTTTGATTCGGTCGCAAGCTGCGTCTAGACAACGACTGTGATTTATTAGAGTTCATTTATTGCTCCTCCGCTCATTCTGGTGGATCACAGTCATTGTCCGGATACAACTTGCTTCCGTACTCCGAACATAATATTTTTACATGTGACTGGGCTTTCTTGCATGACAACAAGCGAAGAAGTCAACACAGGAGAATGAGAGATCTGACTTTTTTTTTTAATCAGATAAATTATGGTGTTTTAGATTAGGTTTGGGATGAGAAAAGTAAATATGAATGCGTCAGGTGTCATGTATGCAAAATTCCTGGATAAAAACTAAATGATATGCACGTAAATCTTCCTAATTACATTATACAACACTTAAAATATTATTATTTATTAAATTAACATATAACTTAAAGATGTTTTATATGCCGCCTAGCGTGACCTGTTAGTAGAGCAACCTCTTTAAAGGTCGTAAGTCCCCTAAGATCACATATTCGAATCCTCCTGGCATGTTTGTCAGTAGTGAGAGCGGTCCTCGAATAGTTAGACACATGAGAGTGGCTTGGGGGCTAAAAATTCACTGTGGTTGAGTAATGAATTATCGTTTTAACATTGCACAAGAATTCAACACACAATTAGGTAAAAGAAAATAACAAATAATGAAATCAGAAGTTTTTACGTGGAAAACACGTAAAGAGAAAAAATCACGGGGCCTGACTCACAAAAGGCAATGGTTACTAGGTTTTTCAAGTTATAACATCGACTGACGGCTTTCGGTCTGCGGTGTTTAACGACGATTGATGGTGATTAACGATGGTCAATTGTCGACGACGGTCGGTGGTCGACGGCAACAGTGGTGATCGACGGCAGTTGGCAGTGATCCACGACGATCAATGGTGGTCGACAGAGATTGACAGCGGTCGAAGGGTGTCGACCACGGTCGGCAACTGTGGACGGCGGCCGGGGGGGGGCGACGGAAATCAACGGTGATAGGGGTGATGCTGGACTTCAGCTCATTCTCAAAGCTTTAAGTTCTCTCTCAAACTTTCAGCTCCTTCTCCTGTATTATATTTGTAGCGTTATAGGTGCAATAAATGCATAAATATGAGTCATTTTGATCAGATCGTCCGGAGAGCTTCTTCGATCATACAACGTTTGAAGAATATCCGAGTACCTGAACGATGTTAGAGTTGAGCATTATTGAGCTCGTTGGATTCGACTTGTTGAGACGCTTGATTCGATTATAAGCTTGCTAGATTCGACATTCTTTTAACCTTTAATTATGTTTAGAAAACTTCTAAGGTTGTTTAATGACTTAACCTGAGCTTGATTTGATTCATATTAGACTAATTTTGACAACATCGAGTTTTTCTTGTGCACCCAGTCAGCTTGACTGTAAGTTTGCTAGAATCGTAATTCTAGATGAGTTTTTATGGATATTTGAAAATTTCTTGCTCAAAAAGTTATATCGAAATCTATGTCATACCTCGAGATTTATGTCGAACGATGAAAATATGATGGAAATAAATATTCTTATTGAACTTATAAATTATAGTAAGCTAAACTTTATATACATATTATTAAACTAAATTTTTTGAGAACACTTAAACTCAAGCCATTAATTTATTCCGACTAATTAAGTTTTGCGGCAGCCACCGGCGCACCGCAAGAAAGAATCTGTTCCAGTCGGAGGATATATCTGTTTTAATCGTTTTTTTTTTGAGCATTTACTAACATACCCCCCAATTTATTTATAATTACATACTCAATGTATAAATTTGTATACTTATATGAAACATAATATGAAAATATCGCTATTATTAATATTTAAATAATAAAATATATACTTTTGTACTTAATGATACTAAAATATAATTGATAATAATCTAAATAGATTAGAATTGTAGGACCTGCATGTAAATTATTTTCCCTCTTTCAAAACACTCTGACGGCCTACTGTGTAAAGACCGAAAGCGAAAAGCAAACAACTATGAGCGGATCCCCGAAAGCCTCCCTCCTTCAGGAAGAAGAAGACCGCCGTCCGCCGTCGACTTCTGTATCTTCTCAAGTTCAGCTCCAGGAAACCAACAGTGGCGGAAGAGAAGGAGTTTCGATGAAGCTTTTAGGGCCACCTCTACGCTCTCTGCTTCAAGAACCAGACAACTCCATCCCGCCGCGAGAGGAACCAGAAAGCCCGAAGGGGAAGGAGAAGGAATACTCCTTCGAATCCCCGAAGAGAGACACATCGTTATCGTCATCACCTTTGCGATCCCCTATCCACCCTGCGGAGAACACCACCGCTTCTGAAAACGCAGCTAAGTCGCCTGGGCGAAATGGTGCAATCGTTGCTAAACATCTCAAGTCGCTGCTCGAGGACGGCGGAAGTCCAATTGGCTACGAGGAGAGGTCGCCGGAGGTGCCGGCGGTGGCGAATCGGATGGCGGAGGCGATGGGTGGTGGAAGAGGAAAGGTGTTTAGAGTGGAATCCGGAGTTGTACGGAGGGCTAAAATGTGGAGAGCCGAAGTTGTTCTTAGGGTTTTGGAAGTTGCTCTATGTCTGGTCTCTATCTCCGTGATGGCCGCCGACAAGACTAGTGGGTGGGCCGGCGACTATTTCGACCGTTACCAGGAATACAGGTTTGTTTATGGTTTGGGCATTGGAGAAATTATTCTGTGAGGACAACATGAATGTTGGGGACAGATTCATTAGGGAAATAGAAATTTTAATGTGTGTTGCTATTAGAGAGATCGGTTCTGGATGCATGAAAATAGTTACAGACTTAATTAAAGTGCAAGTCTTTAATGGAATCAAGATTATTATTTTTTTAAAAACATTCTAATAACAAAAGCATATGTCTCAGTTGACGGCTTTTTTGTTTTAAGAATATATAGATTGAATTCAATCCCAATATAAGCGGTAATGTTTGTTTATTTATTTGTATATTTTTTGGGGTTGCAGGTATTGTTTTTCAGTGAACGAGTTTTAAGAATATATAGATTGAGTTCAATCCCAATATAAGCGGTGATGTTTATTTATTTATTTGTATGTTTTTTGGGGTTGCAGGTATTGTTTTTCAGTGAACGTTATATCATTTGCGTACTCGACACTCCAAGTGTTCTCGCACATTCATTATATGATCTGGAAGAGACACGTGATAAGCATTCCTTTAAGTTACTCGTTCGATTTTTTACTCGATCAGGTAAATGCACGCATTAAAGTTGTTATTTTGTGGTTTTTTTTTGGTTCTAGTGTCGAATATCTGGGTATATTTTGATTTAAATAATTTAGAAAGGAAGCGAATTGGCACAATATAGCCTATAAGGGTCCTGACCTCTATTTGGGGATGCTTGCGTTTTGTTTTAACAGATTCATTAATTATTGCTCATAAGTTGATTATGTTTAAGGCTTCCTTGGAGCAAAGATTTTGAAAAGGTGTATTGAATTGTGATTAGGAGTTTATGATTTATTCAAAGTGAGAATTATTCCTACTTTTAAAAATATCTTCAGCCAAGGCGTAAAGGTGTAAATAATGCCAAACAACTTCTCTTACAATCTATGATATGCTTGCAAAATATTTTCTCTGAGCTTTAGCTCCCTTTTACGCTGCCTATGTTAGAGTCCCACATTTTGGTTTGTTTGTGTGTGCTCGTGTTAAATCATTCAACTTCCCATTAAAATCTTCTATTGCAAGCAGCTGAATTATGCAACTTCCCTCTGTACATTACACTACGCTGCTAGTTATGCCCATCTTCGATGTTTTAACATCTAGCTTGGCTCAAATTGTAATGTCTATCCAATAAAAAAAAAATTCATTTGAAATCTTGCGGACCTTGCATTCCATTTTATTGTATTTGCATGAATCTATTATATTAAGGACCATTTTCATCCTTGAGTTGGATGGTGAGAATATTTTACATCCAAAAAATTTGAGGTGGTAGACTTTCATTCAAGTTTGCCAATAATATCTAAAGAAAAGTGGAGAAACTATATTCTCTTATTCCATATTATTCAAATTACAATCTTTCCTTAGTTATATAGGAGATGTCTAGGGCAAATAGAATTAAGACTGTTACAACTTACCAAATACAAAATAAACAATACATAAATGACATATAGTATAATAAGAAACATAATAAGGAATAAAGTTGAAATAGGAAACTCCCTCCAATACAACAACAACAACAACAACAAAGCCTTAATCCCACTACGTGGGGTCGGCTACATGAATCCTTTCTCTCCATTGCGTCCTATTTAGTGTCATATTTTCATTTAGTTCCAGTAAATTAAGATATCTTCCACAAATTTATTTTGTGGGGCCCATATGGTAGGTGGTTTGGGCCACCTAACAGAGAAAAAATTCCACATTCTCTTTTAAGTTGGGTCATAGATATTGTAAAGAGCTAACTTGGTATTCAAATCATTGAAGTTGATTTGAGGTAGGGATTTAGTAAAACATCTAAAACTTGAAGATGTGTTGGAATATCGATAATGTTTTGTACTTGACATTGAACATCTTTTTGCACCCAACAAATCTTTTATATGGAGCAAGTTTTGTAAAAATCCATGTGTCATTTCAATCAAGTGTTTGGATCTCCTCTTCGACTGTTTTTTTCTATTATGGATTTTGAAGTGCTTTAACAGTAGACTTTGGTATCTAGACACCATCAATATTAGATACACAAGCTTTATAAGTTGATAACCTCTCATAGGCAATATACTCTTGTATAGGATAACCTGTGCAATGTTTTCTATCTTCTCAACTGAATTTCACCTCACTTGGAGCTTTATAGATGTGTGAATTCAGATTTGGTTGTGAACAATCATATGGTTGCATATTATCTTTATCCTATTCAGTAATTTTTTTCCTAGCTTATGCACAAAGTTCTTTGTGGATTTTTGTGATGGTTGCATATTATCTTTATCCTATTCAGTAGATTTTTTCCTAGCTTATGCACAAAGTTCTTTGTGGATTTCTGTGTTGTCAATCTCATGTTGGATATCCTCAATTGGTGGAACTTGAGAGAAAGGATGGTTAGAGGGAAGTAGAATAGATTAAGATGACTCTAGATTAGTGTGGGTATTTAGAGTAGTGTCTCAAATCTGTTATTCACCCAAATTCTCCTTCTGAACTTTAGATTTGTGGTATTAGGATTATTTTTCAATGAATGTAACATCCATGGAGTTACAATTTTTTTTTGTAATGGGAGAATAATATTTATACCTTTTTTTGTTAGAAACATAAACAATGAAGATACATTTCATAGATTTTGGGTCAAAATTTGTGCAGTTTGGTTGGTGAATGTGAGCAAAAGAGATAATTCAAATATTTTTAAAGGAAGAATTAATGTGAAGGCTTTGACATGAGGGTATATTTCCATCAAAACATCAAGATGGGCTTTATATCCATGGATCATGCTTGAAATTCTATTAATGAGGTAAGTGGTTGTGAGCACTACTTATCTCCATAAAACTTTTGGAACATTGTGAGAGAACATGATAGATCTAGATAGCTCGAGATGTTTATTCTTTCTCTAAGGTATCCCATTTTGTTGTGGAGTTTCAACCCATAAACTCACATGGTTGATACCATTCTTTGGAAGGTAGGGTCCAACACCTTATGATAACTTTTGTATTCATGTGGTTATGTATTTTTTATTGCATGAGAATAGTGTAGGTTCGAATCCAATACCTCACATCTATTTTTAATTAATTTAAACAAGTCAATTTCGAGCTGAACACGATTAAAAATATGTAAATTGAGTCGAACACAAATATACTTTTCACCAACAATTCAAACACGAGCCTTTTTTGAACATAATTAATTTTGAACAAGCTGAACACAATGCCAATTTCAAAAAAAATCGAATGTGCTGAGCATGTGCCAAACCTGAGCTCGCTCAAGCTCGGCTCATTTACAACCCTAGTTTCTAACACTTGTCCTTTGAGTGACCAAGTTTTTTGCAATGTTCACATAATGAATGATTCTTCTCTGGCTTTAAATCATGTGAGGAGTTGCGTGGGTACAAAGTAGAGCTTTCAGTGCCAGATGAACCCACACTTACTATCATCTTGAGCTTCTTCCTACTTTTTCTCTTCCAATTACAACGAAGGCTTCCCTGCCGGTAGGGATAGGCTTCATCCCCATGATTCTTGCTTTGATTTCATCTAAGTTTTTTATTTAGACCCAATAAGAATTTGATCGTTATATTCTAATCCATTGTTATTTTATACATCATAGTATCTTGAGGGCACTTCCATACTTATGTATCATATATATCTAACTATAATCAATATTTTGATAGTGTGTTGAAATATTGAGTAATATCCAACTCTTCTTGTCGGAGCTCATGCAGTTTTGTCTCAATTTCAAACAATTATGTAGTGTTTTTGGTATTATAATAAGTCTTATGAGCTACTTCCCAATTCTCATGTGTTATTCTACAAAACAAGAAATTTATTTCAAATTTTGTTGTCATAGAATTGATCAACCAAGACATGATCATTTGATTATAGATCTTCCATGAGTGATGATAAGGATGAATGAGGTCAATAATTGTGTCATCTCCTGTAAGAGTTGCTCTTTTTTTCACAAATGTTTATAAACACAGATTGAGAACATTGAAGGAAGTTATGATCATCGAGTTTATAGTTTGTTATAAAGGTTGAAAGTTGAAGGGTTGTTTTGACAAAGTTCATAGTCTCTGATTCATAACTAACCTTTGGAGTAGAACTAGACGTCTTCATTCTGTACTTGGTCATAAACCCTATGCACATTTAGAGTTGGATAAGGGACTTGGTTGCTACTTTCTTTAGGAATTGTGAACTGCAATTGTAGGAGTCCAACGACTATGATAAAGAGCATAAAAGGGCCTGCATGCTGGTTGGAGGGATTATGGGGGTTACAGGAAGGATTCCGGTTGCTAGATGGCTATTGGTGAGGCTCTAACACTTAGAGGAGGAAATAAAGGAGGGATTGCAGGTCGGCTGAAGGGATTCAGACTGCTATAGGGAGGATTCTGACTACTGTAGAGAGGATTCTTACTGCTGAAGGAGAGCTGGGATGATACCATTCAGGGAGTCATAGCAGATGAAGACAAATTCTTAGACAAATGAAAACAAAGTAGATTTGTTCGACCGACGCAGACGTAGATGTCGTCACAGGAAGAAGTCTAAAATGTCTTTCGAAGCAGACATAAATGAGGTCAATGTTGATTCGTTCGAACGACACCGATGAAGTCGTCATTGCAGGACGAGAGTGATGTTATTCGAAGTAGACGAAGCGCGGGCGATCGACACCCTAATGCCGTCACAGGGTGATGATGAAGCATTGGAAATCGAATGTGCCGTTGACGCCTAGCGATGCAGGCGACCCGAACGAGTTTCTAATACCATGAAGAAATGTGGAGAAACTCTTATTCTATCGTATTCATTTTATCAGGTTGTCTATGCTATAAGCAGTCATTGTAAATACTTAACTAGTATTGCAGAATTCTGTCCCTGTTAGGTGGCCCAAATCGCTTGCCATATGGCCCCACCGGATTTATTTGTGAAAGCAAATGGAGGGAGTTTTCTATTTTAGTTTTCTTCCTTCTTATTTTGTTTTTTTTATATTGCATGTCTTTTCTTTATTGTTTGTTTTGTATTTGATAAGTTGAATGGCTTTAATTATGTTTGCCTTAAACATTCCACCTTTTTGTGCATATAGTTAAATTAGCCTATATTTGTTAGTAATAACAAACATATTAACATCAACATGCCTATTCATTCACAAGTCAAATTAGTCTATGTTTGTTATTTAGTCACAATGCTAAATGTAGATGACAATCTCATGGTCTTACAAGATCATAACAAAGCTATGGTGTCAAAACAAGTATCATAGTGTGTCCTACAATTTTACTGCGTAAATAGATCTAATTTTTTTGGTGTTGATGCCATATTTATTATTACTTCATTACAATTCCTTTTTTTCCCCACTTTTATGTCTAGCTTAGTTACAATTTTGCCTACCACCATGTAAAATACCATCTCTAAGCTTTTATTTATTTTTATATTTATACTCACACAGCCATATGGTGCTATGCTTTGAACTAAAGACCTTGTGGTTGCAAATGAAGCTCTCAATCACTAAATTAAGTGGGTTGCAAAAATATCATCTCTAAGTTAACTTTAGATTTAGCAATTCCATTCTATTTCCACTTC